ATATTTAGCAACGAATTTTCTGGGCTTAAGTAATTCTTGTCGTTTATCTTCACTTTTATAAAAATTTTACCTACTTTCCAATAGCTAGAATTTATTTCATCATATAGTTCATTAATAGTTGGCCTTTTTAAATGATTCGAATGTAACCATTTTTGCATTAAAATAGCCCAATATTGTGTGTTCTGTAATATTATATATTAAGCATAAAAATGTATGTAATACGCCCAATCATAGAAAGGACGCAATCCAGATATAAGTTCCCACATAATCATTCCAGATATCCGAATTAAATGAATATGGCTTTTTTGTTAAGGACCTCAGGTACATATATGGCATGATTCCATATATTTAAACTTTTGCTGGTCGACTGAATCCCAAATCTGTAATTAAGGGGTTGGTGTCAGAATCATAACTTTTTGGTTTACCTATTAATATATTTTCATCATATATATCACGATGTATATTTTATTTTCATGAATCCGTTTGAATTTCATTTTCAATGTCCGTTTGAATTTCATTTTCAATGTAATAAGGCATAACAAAAATATTCTTTGGTTTTTGGATTTTGTGACATTGGATAAGGTGGCGTTTATAGGAGTTGGGCTGACTTTTAACAATATTTCGTAACTGTGGTAAAAATATGACAAATTTTTAAAGTGGTCTATTAATAATTAATGTAAAGTTATACATTATTACCTTTTTTAAGAATGTTGAATCGATATTTTGGGAGCTTTTAACACTACTATTTGTTTTTCGCTTCGATTGAAGTTTGGACCAGTTGTTCTTCCTTTCGTCCAAGTAGCAATAAAGATTTTAACTAAAACCACTCTATAAAATCATTAAATGGTATCCATTCTGATTTAAAATGAGGTTGATTTTTATACATTGCCCTGATTTAATTGTCAATATCTTGGTTTCCACTACAACAATTGGCACATAACTCTTTATGTACGAGTTTTTCTTTACTTTGCATTTTAATGTTTATTCGTTGATTAACCTAAATTTAATATTAACATGTAATTCGGACAAAGGATGATAATGTAAATAACACTGGTTCCCTTTCGGTTTTGTTAGAGTTAACCAGATTGGGCAGGAAGTAACAGTTATAAATGCCACCAAAAATGTTAATGCCGAAGCTTTTAGACCCAAATAATTTTTTTAAAAAAGTCCCGTATATTCTAGAACTTTATTTAAATGCAGTCCAACTATCATAACCATATATATATTGTAAAGGGAAAATTCGAGTTGTGCTACAATGTAAATAATTCCTGTAGAACTTGTTACTGTATCACAAATGTTGTAGCAGTGCACTTTGCCTATTTAACAATTTTGTTCGATAGAAAAATTCACCAAACGACTTGTGATAACTTTTTAATTTGAAAATAAATAATAATCATGTCAGCATCAGAAAGAATAAAGAAAGCAATAGAAATAAGTAGTATAGTCTATGTTGGATCCAAATTAGACGTAGCCAAAGGAGCATTAAATGCTCTTGGAATGGTTGGAGAAGCTGTTAAACCATACGTTCCTTTGATATCAGTCGTTTCATCATTAATTGAAGAAATTGTAACAATTTATGAGAATGCACAATATAATAAAAAAATTTGTAATTCATTACTTGATCGTGCTAAATCAGCTGAAGCAGCTATGGATACATTATCAAGAAGACGAAAAGAGAATGAAGAAAATTTTCGAAAACAAACTTATTATGATGATTTCGTAAAATTTAAAAATGCTTTAGAAAAAATAAGGAATTTTGCAGGAGAAGTAACACAACTTAGAGGTTATAGTAAATATCTTAATGCTAATAATGTTAAAAAGAAATTCTTAGCATTAACAGAAGAGTACGATACATGTATGAAACATTTGCATTTTACTATGGTGATTGCTCAAGAAGAACAGTTAAAATATGATCATGAATGCTTGGAGCATGATCTTGCTGAAATGAATGAGGTAAGTTTAAATAAGATTAAATAAAAAATATTTACAAGGTTAAATAAGATAAATATTTACTAGTTGATCTAATATTAACATTTTTAATTATTTTCATCAAAAGTTTATGCAACAAATTAAAAGTGGAGTCGATGATAATCAAAAACAACTGAACATGATTTATCAAGAAATTGTATCAATTCAAACACATATGCAACAATCGGAAAGAAAATCACAGAATTCAATGAAAATTAATGCGCCAAAAATTGATCCAAGTCAATTACAAAAACCCGAACCTTCAGAAGGAAATAATCAACGCCCTAGCCATCCTAGAATTATAAAAAGAATATACTTAAGAAATGCAACTGAAGTTGCATGTAAAATTAATGATAAAACAAGTGATAGATTATTACATTCTCAAAAAAACCAAGGTTATTTGGCAATTCTAGGAAAATTAGGTGAAAGTCCAAATATCCTAAAATTTTATGGAACTTCAACTGTCGATAATCGTGAAGTCATGGTTTTTGAATGGGCAGAAATGGGAAATTTAAAAGAAGTTTATGAAAGTCGTGACATACCATGGGTCACGAAGATACCTATAGCTCTTGATATTTGTCGTGGTATTGCATTTTTAAATTCTGCCAGTATCTTTCATCATGATATCAGATGTGAAAATGTCATGGTAAGTTTAATATAATAATAAATTATATATTGTATTATAACGTTATACGATTGATTGTACTTTTTATATTTATATCGATAGATAACTAGTCGTCTAGAGCCAAAATTGGCAAATTTCAAATTTGCTAGAATGTTGGATGGTGATTCTTCGAATCTTGAAGATATTTTAAAAGTTATTCATTGGTTGGCTCCTGAAAAGATGTTTGAACACAAGTGTGATAATAATAAGACTTATAAACGACCATACACACAAAAATGCGAAATTTTTAGGTATAATTCTTTACATCATTTTGTATTAATATTATTTATAATGAAATTCGATTTTATTATCGTTTATAGCTTTGGAATGCTTCTTTGGGAATTATGTTTTGAAAGGGTTCCATATGCTAACAAAGGCATGGATAATATTATTTCTTGGGTTACAACTGGTGGTAGAGAAAAAATTCCAGTTTGTAAAGGAGATGAAAAAGATAAAGAAATTCAAAAAGAATTCGTGACTATTATTAAAATGGGTAAATATACATATTTATTATTAGTTGAAATTATAAATTCTGTAAATTCTAATATACAATATATTTATATACATTTCTTTTTAAAAAAACAAAAGCATGGCAGCATGATCCAGAAGCTAGAATTAACATAAGCAAATTATTCGTAATGCTTTCAAACATGGCCTCAAAACATGTTATACCTGGTGCGCCTACTTATCTTTTGCCTAACAAAACTATAGATTATGGTCATCAGTCAGATTCATTGTTATTGGAAGAGAAGGAATTTTATTTGTCAGATGAGGAAGAACAGACCGAGGAAAAAAGAAAGTTTTCTATCAATTGAAGAGGGAATTAGACGTCATAAATTAAAAACTCCTGAAGATAGAAAAATTGCTTGGAAAATCTTTGATGTCAATGCAGAAAGAGGAGACTATTCTGCAATGTATTGGAAAGGTGTTTATTTATGGGAAGGTTATCACATTGATAATAGAACTGATGAACAAATTAAGGATGATAGAAATAAGTCCCTTGAACTTTTTTAAATTAACTGCCGATTACGGTATTCCAGAGGCTCAATTACGTTACGCGTTCGCTTTAAAAGAATTAAAATTGTTAAAGGAAAAAGAAGATCGTGATGAATTTATAAAGTATTTGAAAAGTAGGTAAAATTTTTATAAAAGTGAAGATAAACGACAAGAATTACTTAAGCCCAGAAAATTCGTTGCTAAATAT